AGATGAGAATTACTTTGATATGTTAAAGAACAACAAAGAGTCCATGTGGCTACAGCCAGGCAGAAAACAGAGATGAGATCAGGGAGTTATCAGCAGAAGTCTGGTCATAGGGCTGGGGTATGCCATGTTTGGGTTTTATCCTGAGTGTGACGGGAAGCTACAATAGTGGAATGCTGTAAATTAATTTATATTTTTAAGTTCTTTCTGGCTCCTGTACACAGAACTCATTGTAGAAGGGCAAGAAGAGAAGCAGAAACACAAGTTGGAAGGCTATGATATAATCCTAAACAAGAGGTGGTAGCATTGTAGACTTGGAGGTGGCAGAGAAACTACCGTTAGTTGGATTTGGGGTGTAATTTTGCTAATATGTTGGATATGGAGAATATGGAAAAAAGAAGAGTCATATAAAAAGCCTTAAGGATAAAACTCATTAAGCTGCACAATAATTTGCCTGCCAAAAATATTTTGAAATTATAAGCTTTACGGCTGATGTGTTGGTTAATTGTTGGCTTTCACCACCACATCACCCTTTCATGGGCTCCTCCTCTGTATTGCCAGATGCTAGAAATCTGCAAAGTATATTTCCTAGGCCTCCTTGCAAACAGAGAGGTTAGGTTCTGCCAATGTAAGCCAATGACAGCAGGACATAGAGAAAGCCACGGTTTTTTCTGCTTCTGTTCTGACATAGCCATCAGTGAGCATCTGTGAGCCACACCAACTTTGAGCAGCCATCTATGACCAATCTGGGCAGTTTCAGTGGGACTACAGGCTCCTTGGCTCTGCAGCAACCACAGGAAGGCAAGCTCCTGGCTTCCTGGCCAAGTTACATTGGCTGTATTCTCAACAGTGCAATACTTAGGAGCTCTGGGGAACAGTTTCCCATTTCCTCCAGCCCCAGGGGCAATAGCTACTTCCCATATTTACTAATCTCTAGATGGCACCACCTTAACTCTTTTTATTCCTCCAGCCCTTCCAACACTTTTGTAACCAATTCACTGTATTAAAATCTTTCTGTCAGAAATATCCTAAGTGGCTTGTTTTCCTGAACGTATGCCAACTGATATAGTAAAGAAAGAAGCGTCACTCTCCAGAGTCTACTTTCACATATTGTTGTTCCTCGCAACACTCTTACATATAGGCATAGCAAATTCTATTATTCCCTTCATATAAAGCAACAAACTGAAAACTGAAAGTGATTATTAAAATACTTTGAAGATTTGCTGACAAGAAATCTACCAATACACATTTAAACAATTTATTTGTCAAGTGTTTATCTTAACCATAAATTTTCACATTTAAAGTTATAACAAAGAGCCAAGGTATTCTTATGTAAAGTAATAATGCAAGACTTACTGATTTAAAGAAAATATCAGAAATAAGACTATTACAAAAGATAATATATTATGGAGAAAACATTTAACTTTTTATGTTAATTTCAATCAATAGCTTTTATCCCCCCCAAAATTAGTTCTTACTATATTACATTTTTTAAGAAGTTTAAATCCAAATGATCACTTGATTTAAAAACAAATCAAACATACTATATACTGGCATCTAAATCCTCTAGAAGGTAGAAAGAGAATAAGAAGACATTAAGAAAACAAATTGGTGCAAAATATTAGAGATAAAACCATAAAATGCTAAGAAGAGGGGTGCCAGGCTGGCTCAGTCAATTGAGCATGCAACTCTTCAACTTGGGGTTATAAGTTTGAGCCCCATGGTGTGTGTAGAGATTACTTTTTAAAAAACTAAAAAAACCTCTTAGAAGAAAACAAAGGGATAAATCTTCATGATCTGGGATTTGGCGATGGATTTTTGGATATGACCCCAAAAGCAGGAGCAACAAAAAAAATAAACTGAATTTCATCAAAATTAACTTTTGTGCATCAGAGGATATTATCAAGAAACTGAAAAGACAACGTATACAAAATGGGAGAAAATATTTACATATTTATCTGATAAGAATTAATATCCAAAATATACAAAGAATTCAATTTTTAAAATTCCAATTTAAAAACAGGCAAAGGACTCAAATGGCCACAATGGTAAAAATGGCAGAAAATACACAATGGCCAATAAACACATGAAAACATGCTCAACTGTATTAAGCATCGGAGAAGTGCAGATCAAAACCACAGTGAGACACTACTTCACACCTACTAGGACAGCTATGATCAAAAAAATGGAAAATAATAAACGTTGACAAGGATGTGAAAAACCAGAACACTCACACATTGCTGCTGGAAGTGTAAAATGGCGCAGGCTCTGTGAAAAACAGTTCAGTGTTTCCTTAAGAAGGAAGTAGTATAGAAGTATCGTATGCACCAGTAATTCCACACCTGGATCTATACTCAAAAGAACTGAAACCCAGAAATGAAGCAATACTTGTACATGCTAATTTCAGAACAGCTAAAATTTGAAGTACAATTAAATATCACCAGATAACTTTACCCTTAATTTGACCAAAAAAACCCAAAAAAGTAAGAAAATCAAATAAACTAAGAACCAAAAACTGGCAGATTTTTATAAAGAGTATGTGTTGATAATTTTGAAGCACCAAATAATTATATGACAGTCATATATGTTAAGCTTTTTAAAATTTTGTGGGGCGCCTGGGTGGCTCAGTTGGTTGAGCGTCCGACTTCGGCTCAGGTCATGATCTCACGGTCTGTGAGTTCGAGCCCCACGTCGGGCTCTGTGCTGACCGCTCAGAGCCTGGAGCCCGTTTCGGATTCTGTGTCTCCCTCTCTCTCTGCCCCTCCCCTGTTCATGCTCTGTCTCTCTCTGTCTCAAAAATAAATAAACATTAAAAAAAATTTTTTTAAAACAAAAAAATTTTTTAAGAAGCACATAACACAAAAATTAACTCAAAATAGATTAAAGACTTGAAAATAAGACCAGAACCCTCTGTATTGCCAGGTGCTAGAATAAAACTCCTAGAAGAAAACACAGGCAGTAACCTCCTTGACATCAGTCCTGGCAATGATTTTTTCGATTTGATACCAAAACAAAGGCAACAAAAGGAAAAATAAACAAGTGGGACTACATCAAACTAAAAAGTCTCTGCACTGCAAAGGAAACCAACAACAAAGTGAAAAAGCAACTACTGAATGGCAGAAAATATTTGCAAATCATATATTTGATAAGGGGTTAATATCAGGAAGGAAGGAAGGACCTCATGTAGCTCAATAGGAAAAAAAATCCTATTAAAAAATGGGCATATGGTCTGAACACACATGTTTCCAAAGAAAACATACAACTGGCTAATAAATACATGAAAAGATGTTCTACACCACTAATCATCAGGGAAATGTAAATCAAAATGCAATGAGACATCACCTCATACCTGTTAGAATGGCTATTATCAAACAGACAAGGAAAAAAATAAAACCCAAAAGGACTAGAAATATATGTTGGCAAGGACACAGAGAAAAGGAAACACTTATACACTGTTGGTGCCAATGCAAATTGGTGCAGCCACTGTGGAAAACAGTATGGAAATTCCTTAAAAAATTAAAATTAGAACTACCATATGATCCAGCAATTCCACTTCTACGTATGATCAGAAAAAAGTGAAAACACTAATTTGAAAAGATATATGCACCTCCATGTTCACTGCAGCATTATTTACAATAGTCAAGATATGGAAACACCCTGAATATCCATCAATGGATGAGTGGATAAAGATGTAATACACATACACACATGCACGCACACGCGTGCGCACACGCACGCACACACACACACACACACTGAAATACTACTCATAAAAAATAATGAACTCCTGACATTTGCAACAACACAGATGGATCTTGCAGGCATTATGCTAAGCAAAATAAGTCAGACAGAAAAAGAAAAATAGTGTCTGCACTCAGATGTAAAATTTTAAAAATAAGGGTGTCTGGGTGGCTCAGTCATTTAAGCATCCGACTCTTGATTTCAGCTCAGGTCATGATCAAGTAGTGAGATCAAGCCCCATGTCAGGCTCCACACTGAGTGCAGAGCCTGCTAAGGTTTTCTCTCTCTCCCTCTGCCCCTGTCCTGCTCCCACTCTCTCTCTAAAAAAAAAGAAACAAGAAAAAAATCTTTGAAAAATAACAACAACAACAACAAAAAATGAGCTCAAGCGTATAGAGAACAGACTGGTGGCTGCCTGAGGCAGGGGTAGCGGGTGAAAGGGTTCAAAGGGTGTAAATTTCTATAAAATATTCAATGAATATGTTGTAGGGAGGTAACAAACAGCATGATGACTACATTAATAATACTGTACTGCATATTTGAAAGTAGGTAGGAGAGTGAGTCTTAAAAATTCTCATCACAAGAAAAATAAATTTTAACTATGTACTGGTATACGTGTTAACTGAACTTACTGCAGTAATCATTTTGTAGTATATACAAATACAGAATCGTTACTTGGAATCGCTGTATACATAAAACTAACATAATGTCAATTATATCTCAATAAAAATTTTTAAAAAAGAATGTATAACTCATAAGCTACCATGTTTTCAGTAAAGTTTTACAAAATTTATAAAGGAATTTCTTGACATTCTAAAAGTATCCCTCATTCTTGAAGGCTAAATGCCCTCATCTTAAAGACACATATAAATTGCCCAAAGAATACAGCAGTCTTTAATACTGGCAACTGATAAGACAAAGAGGATATATTTGTAAGTATTTAAAAGAAATAGCTAAATTTAGAATGATGACTTTTACTTCGTCATTCTTAAAATACTTCCTTAAGAACTCCCAAAGGCACAACTTAAACAAAAAAATAGCTCTTATGGGTATATATTTCAGTGATATTAAGTTCACCTTACTAGAACAAGAAATAAAATCTCTCTCTGTCTCATACACACACACGTTAGATCCACCCAACTAAAAAGCTGACAATTTAAAGTTATTGAATTACAACTTAAGTACTTTTGTAAAATACTGCCACTCAAGGAATATACTAAATATTAACATGGTCATAGTAACACCTACTTGCTGACACTTACTGTGTGAAAATTTATCATTTCTTGAAGACTGTCAGAAAACTTGGTTAAACTTGTCTATGAAAGAAACCAAAAGAAAACCAAGTCATTTAAAAGCCACTAAAATAGGTCACAAAAATGTTACTTCAGCATTTCTGACAGAAAGATCAAGTTACATTGTAAACAATGACATTTACTTGCAAGGGCAATTTCATGGCATTGCCTCATGGGCATTCTCTGCAAAGAGGACAAGTCTACATGTGGTAGTGACATAAAACCCCAGAACAGTCAAAGAATTAATATTGTCATATCAGTAGGAGTATGCTAACAAATAGTAATGGCACATATAAACCTAAAGGTAAAATTGAGTGTATCAAGACTGCACATTTAGACATCCCGGAGTCAAATAATCATGAAAGCACATCCATTACCTAACCAGGTATTATTCCTCCTGGAAGAAATAACATAATACCACAGAGTACAGCAAGGGTCTAAGTTAACCAAGCATAGCGAGCTGACAAGAACTTTCCTATACAGCCCCATACAGACAGTTAAATACTATTCTTAAGGTTTAATGCTCTCTGCTTGCCCCTATAAGCTCCTACTAGGGAGCATAATCCTCCTCTGCCTGCTCAGGCCCTCTTGTAGAGGATTCAGCTCACCTACCAGAAGTAAGCTTACATTCACAATGCAAATCATCCATCAACTTCCAACTATGCTAGAGAACAGAATTATAGAAAATAAGACCAATAGGTGATAGCTTTTCTATTCCACTATTTTACCACTATAGCCACTAATACGTTTAATAAGTGAATGCATAATTCTTTAATATCCTGATGCATTTAACATATTAACTAATTTTAATAATACTAACCTCAACTACAGCATCATTACTAGAATATTGTGCCAGGTCTCGAATCCCATTCATGAATTGTTTATTTGCAACACAAAAGGCCTTTCCAGTATCAATCATTGCGATACAAAGTTTCACAAGCTGAAAAAGAAAAACATTACATCAGGTTGAAAATAATTATACAAATTACTTAGTTGAACAAGTGTTAGTAGTAGCTTCATGAGTTAGCCTAGTTTAGATAAATTATGGTTCATCAATAAATCCAAAATAGACCAATTGAAAATTGCTCTTTTCCCCTCTGACTTATAAAGTAAATTCACAGGAGGGTTTTACCAAAACAGTTGACCTTTTAGGACCCAGAAGCTGTGTTGAAACAACAACAAATCATTTTATCAAGTCAAATTCAAGCCCATAAATTAATTCTATAAAAATTTGTCTAGGAAGAACAGGGAACCTGAGGCAGAACAACCAGTATGTTAAAAAATATTTTAAATTAAAAAAAAAAAACTCAAAACCTGTGGTATGTTGGAGAAAAGGGGAATAAGCTGACATGTTGAGTTAGTCATGCTGGGCATTTCAGTGTCAATCTATCAAAGCAGATGTCAGAATTGATTAATCAACCATATTTCTCCAATGCCTACTGTCCTAGGCACTGTGCTAGTGTTAAAATTGAGACTTTCTTTCATCTTTCTTTCTCTTTAATTCCTTTCCTCCCTCCCTTTCTTTTTTCCATTCCTTATTTTTCTCCTTTCATTCAAACATAGAACATTTTCTTTAATCAAGCAGTATCTTGGGTCAATACATATATATACATACATATTTTTTTTTTTTCTTCTTTTAAAGTGGAGAAGGAAAGGATACTGAGGGGGTAATGCAGGGGTGGGAGGGCACCACGAAGAGCCCCCCCCCAAAAAAAAAACCTTTAAAAAACATCTAAAGGATCTCAGGAGTATATTTTAAAACTGTTATACCCTAGGGCCTAGAAGAACAGAAATTAAAGATATAATCTCTCACAAAACAGATGAACATAAGGGAAGGGAAACATAAATAATATAAAAACAGGGAGAAGGACAAAACATAAGGGACTCTTAAAAATGGAGAACAAACAGAGGGTTAGTGGAGGGGTTGTGGGAGGGGGGATGGGCTAAATGGGTAAGGGGCATTAAGTCTCTGTTGCACTATATGCTAACTAACTTGCATGTAAATTTAAAAAATAAATTAAGTTAAAAATTTTTTAAAAAAAACATAATCTCTCTCTCAGAAGCTCTAATTCTAACCAACAGACAAGCAGATACATTCCCTACAGCAAAAACACGACTGCTATGCATGACAAAACCAAGCATGATGGAACAAAGGAAGAACATCTAACCAGAACTATGGGCTTAAGTAAGGGAAGGATTCCTGGAAAAGGTAACACTTGAGAAAAGCCCTGAAGACCAACAGGAATTAGCCAATCAGACAAAAGTAATGGGAAGACACTACTCTAGGAAGAACATGTGCTAAGGCCCAGAAGCTCAGTGGGCAGGACAGAGGCAGTGTGCAGTGTGAAAATGTGTGGCATTAAAAGTATGATGTTAGGAATATATACAAGGACCAGATCAGGACAAGCCTTGTGTACAATGCTAAGATGTTCACATTTTGTGTGAAAGGAAAAGTGAAGACAATGATTGGTGAGTTCTCCTGAGTTCCATCTTAGAATGATGATCTAAAAGGAGAAAAAATAAAAACATGGAAAGAAATAATAAAGATAAGGAGATTGGACCAAAAACCATGAGCGTCTAAATTAAGGCAGTAAGCAGGGAGAGAAAAGGGGAGACAAATTCAAGAACTACAGTCAAGTACTCTGGTACACTTATGCAGACGACTGTGTCCCACCAAGGGGAAAGTTGGAGCTGAAATTCAGCCTGAGCTTGGCCTGCCATGGACTACTAATTCACACATTAAACTGGCCAGCAAAAAACTTGTTTTCACTGTGTTGAGCCTGTGAGATAAGCCAAGTGGAAAGCTGATCAAACACAAATGAACACAGATGTTTGCAACTCAAAAAAGACTGTAGATATAGATACAGAAGGCATCAAAAAATATACAGTATCAGTGCTACAGTGTTATGTCCTAGACAGAGAGCAGAGGACAGATGCAGAGTGAAAATTACACAAAGGAGACTAAAGAGGAAGAGGGAAAGTAGGAGAAAAAGCAAGAGAATAATTTCACCAAAGTAGATAAAAGAACAATGTATCAAAAGATGGATGATGAATGGTTCGAAAACTCATAAAAGTCAAGTTTTAAAAAGACTTAAAAAACGTCTATTGAGTTTGGTGGCAAAGTCACCAGCACGCCCAGCAAGAATGTTTTAAGAGAAACTGACTGGGGGGCTGTTAGTCAGGTTACAGTAAATTATGAACTATAGATGAAGAAGACAAAATGATAGCTCAATATATGCATATAAATTCTACAGAATACCCACAAGAACATCCTATACTAAAATAAGGATTCTGTGATAAAACAAATCTGGCAAACTCTAGGGTTTTTTTTAAATTTTTTTTTTAACGTTTATTTATTTTTGGGAGACAGATCATGAGCAGGAGAAGGACAGAGAGAGGGGGGACACAGAATCCGAGGCAGTCTCCAGGCCCGAGCTGTCAGCACAGAGCCTGACATGGGGCTCGAACCCACAAACTGCAAGATCATGACCTGAGCTGAAGTCGGACGCTCAACCGACTAAGCCACCCAGGCACCCCTGGCAAACTCTAGGTTTAAAAAGCTAAACAGATTTCTTTATTGCTGAACTTTAAAGAGCTTCTTATATATATTCATGCGTACTGTGAATCCTAGAAGAGTATAATATGTAACATTTCTCAAAAATATTTGATGTGGAATTCTCTTCACAGGGAGCATTCTCATAGAAACAACATCTCATAAAACTCACTATGAGAAATGCTGACAGAAATTAGTCTTTTAAACAGTTTGAAAATTACAAACAAACAAATAGAAAATTACAAAAAAATAGAGATGCCTGGCTGGCTCAGTCAGTTAAGTGTCCAACTCTTGATTTGGGCTCAGGTCATGATCTCACAGTTTGTGAGATTAAGCCCCGCATCAGACTCCACACTGACAGTTTGGGATTCTCTCTATCCTCTCTTTCTGCTCCTCCCTCTGCTCATGCAAATGTGCGCGTGGTCTCTCTCTCAAACACACACAAAAAAGAAAATTACAAAAAATAATGTCTTAAAAACCAGAAAAACTAATTCTAAAATTCATATGGAGTAAACATTAACATGCAAGAAGACGGAAAAAAATCGAAAAGAATAATGAGATGGGGACATAAGCCTTATATTTTTTTTAATTTTTTTAACGTTTATTCATTTTTTGAGAAACAAAGAGAACACAAGAGGGGCAGAGAGAGAGGGAGACACAGAATCTGAAGCAGGCTCCAGGCTCTGAGCTGTCATCATAGAGCCCATTGTGGGGCTTGAACGCACAAACTGGGAGATCATGACCTGAGCCCGTGAGACACTTAATCAACTGAGTCACCCAGGCACCCCAGCCTTATATATTATTAAAATGTATTATAGAAGTGCAGCAGTTAAAAGTCTGGTAATGGATGTGAATAGACAAACTGTTCAATGGAATAGAACAGAGTCAAGAAACAGATACAAATATGCAGTACTTCCAGCCAGTTGGGGGGGGGGGGGGGGGGAGCTTAGAGATCCAATAAATGACATACGGATCCTAGATAGCCATCTAATGGGGAACAAAGAAAACAAAAAACCAAGTTGAATTCCAAATGCTCAAATTAATTTCAGATGGAATAAAGATTTAAGCATGAAACATTAAATGAGAAAACTAAGAGAAAACAGGAGGTAATATTTTTTACAATCTCAAAGTAACAAAAGTCTTTTTGAGAAAGATGCAAACCTCAAAAATCATAGCAGAAACATCAATTCAACTATAAAAACATAAAACATTTCTATAAGAAAAAAACAATAAACTTAGTCAAAAGAAAAACAATAAAATGGGAAAACAATATTAGTAACAATCACAAGGGACTAATTTCCCTGCTATAAGAAAGGGTATACAATCATCTTTGAAAAGCAAACCAGCCACTAGAAAAAAAGAAAAAAGAAAAAAGGTCGACAGATATGTACAGATAATTCCCAGAAAATTAAAAAAAAAATCAATCTCACTCATAATTTTTTTAAAAATTGCAAAATACTGTTTTTTACAGAACAAAGATCAAAAGTTTGGTAATTTGCTATTGTAGAGTGGGTAGGTATGGGGAAACAGGCACTCTCACACATTTTGGGGGGAGGGGATGTAAATTGGTACAATTTCCATGTAAGGCAGTTTAGCAAGAGCTATCAAAATTTTAAACAATTACCCTCTAACCTAGCAATTTCACTTTTAGAAAAGTATTATACACATACATTTTCACATAAGCTACATGACACTCATGTGAAGTCATTCACTGCAGCCACAGTAAAATACAGGCAACAATCTAAGTATCCATCAGTAGACAACTTGATAAATTATGATATATCCATTAATGAAATACAATTCACCCTTTAAAAAGAATGAGGCAGCTCTATAATTAATAACAAAAACCAAAATCCAAGATATATGTTTTCCAAAAGTAAAATGTAGAACAGTGTTAATATTTTTGTTGGAGTGGGGAGAAGAGAAACACAAATACTTAAAATCTTTTATATGGTCAGAAAACTTCTGGAAGGACACACAAGTGTTCTCTAGGAAAGAGATTAGAGGAGGACTAATTTCTCACTGATTTCTCTACCTTTGAGTTTTGTGTCACACAGGTGGTATTCAACGAATTAAATACTTATTTAACAAATTAAATAGTTAAAAAATAATTAAAATGTTCTATAAAAACTGAAAGAGAGGTTGGTAGTATAACAATACGGATAAAAACACAAGGGTTCTGGGTTCAGTCAGCTTAGGTTCAAATTCTACTGCTGTCATTAACCATCTAAATGATCCTGAATGACCTTAACCTCTGCAAACTTAAGTTTCTTCTGTCTGATATGATCACAATGGTACCAAACCATATCAGGTTACTATGAAAGAGTTAAGATGGTGTGAGAAATAACTGAAATGATTCTTTTTCAGAATTACCAAATAGGTACGCC